CTTTTGGGCCCTCCACATGTTAGATCCGGAAGTGAACTCATGAACACTGGTCATGGCTGGTTAGCCAAATACCTCCATACATCTTTTGTAACAATTGCTGCCTCTCTATGAGGGATATGCCAGAAGTTAAAAGACAGACAACGTGAGGATGGGGAGCCCGGTGAATATTTTCAGGGCTCTGGCAGTTTTATTTTTTAACCATTACATCACTGAATTCTACTGACCTTGAATGTTCAGGCAGCTATCCTTCTTGTCGTTGGAAAGGTCCGGTTAAGATCTGTGACTGTTGCTCATGCACAGGTACATACACACCAATATGTGTGGATGCATTTGTATTTTCTTATTCTAAGTTTGGAGAGAAGACAAAGGGAAGAGCATGATAAGATCAGCAAATACAGGAACAGAATACAGAATGAAAAAGAAGTAGGCTTTGAACTATGGCTATAGATTATCAGATGATGTAAGTGAATATTTGTAGAATTTCTTACTTAGTTCTTGTTTCTTTCTTTCTTTCTTTCGAAGAGGTTTCTGCTATAGAGTGCGTGCGCTCACCAGAAAGACAGAGAGAGACAGAAAGCGAGAAATCACCCCCCAGGGGGATGGCCATGCTACAACTCCTTCTCCTCCATTCTCCTCTAGAGATCTTGGGCACGCAAACACATGAGCCTGGCGTGAGTTTAAACCACCGGGTCTGGGGCTTGAACCGCGGTCAACTACATGGGAGTTCAGTGACATAGCCATTACGCCAACTGCTAGTCCCTTTCGTTTCTTTCTTTTAAACAGAGAGGCATACTTCATTGATATTTAAGCTCCAGTGGCTATCTAGTTTATACTCAGGGATTGGCATGTGTGTGTGGAGGGGTGTTGATGGAGATCTGGAGTACACAGGGCTTTACTCTGGTCAGTCAGATCTTTTCTGTTGAAAACAATTTTGTTTTTTTCAGAGAGAGATTTTTGCTATAGGGCATGTGTGCTCGACAGAGAGAGAGAGAGAGACAGAAAGCAAGAAATCACCCCCTGGGGAGGTGACCATGCTGCAGTCTCTTCTTTATTATTCTCTTGGGATTTTGGGCATACACGCACACATGCCTGGTGTGAATTTAAGCAGCCAGGCCTGGGACTTGAACTGCAGTCCACTACGTGGGAGTCCAGCAACGTAACCATTACACCATCTGCTAGTCCAGAAAGCAATTATTTTTAAAAGGGCTTTATTATTACATCATCCCCACTGTGGTAGGGGGATAGGGCCAGGCTGCAGTCCCTTCTCCATTCTCCTCTTGGGATTTTGGGTATGCCTTCACATGCGCCTGGCATGGTTTTCAAGCCACCAGGCCCAAGACTTGAACAGTGGTTGGCTTTGTGCCATGTGGGTGTCCAGTACCTTAACCACCATGCCACCTGCTGGCCTCTACATTCGACTATTTTATGGGCTAATTTTCAAAGATTTCTTTTCCGGGGTGGGTTCCCAGGTTTAAAAAAGATGGTGTCGTAACAGTACTTTCCTTTTCTCTTTTAGCAATAGGCGAATATGAAGACCTTAGAGCAGAGAACCAGAAAACAAAGGAGAAGGTTTGTACTTTATCCTTTTCTCCCTTTCTCACATGTGGAAAAGCCTAGGCAGCAGAGTGCATTGTTCAGCACCAATTTCAGTTCAATGTGAATGAGGGTTTTTTTTTTTTTTTTTTTTTGCCTCCTTTTCTCTTGCATGTGTGATTCAAGCTAATATCAACTCCGGGCTCCAGATGGTAAAGAATAGCAGGCACGCCACAGTGGGCCCTGCTCTGGGAGATTAACTCCATGGCTAAATGCACTGCAAGGCACCAGGCCAAGCAGCTCAAGTCCCTAAAGATTGTACTTCTTTCCTAACACTCAGATTTGGGGTGCTGGTGATGGGATTGAAGGGCTAAGACATTTACTTTTGGGACCTCCACATGTTAGATCCGGAAGTGAACTCATGAACACTGGTCATGGCTGGTTAGCCAAATACCTCCATACATCTTTTGTAACAATTGCTGCCTCTCTATGAGGGATATGCCAGAAGTTAAAAGACAGACAACGTGAGGATGGGGAGCCCGGTGAATATTTTCAGGGCTCTGGCAGTTTTATTTTTTAACCATTACATCACTGAATTCTACTGACCTTGAATGTTCAGGCAGCTATCCTTCTTGTCGTTGGAAAGGTCCGGTTAAGATCTGTGACTGTTGCTCATGCACAGGTACATACACACCAATATGTGTGGATGCATTTGTATTTTCTTATTCTAAGTTTGGAGAGAAGACAAAGGGAAGAGCATGATAAGATCAGCAAATACAGGAACAGAATACAGAATGAAAATTAGAAAAGAAGCAGCAGTACCGTGCATTTTGTTTGTTTGTTTTTAGATAGAAATGGAATTTACTTTTAAAAATTTCTTGTTTGATAGATCAAATATTTCCTGGTGAAAAGTTAATAAAACAGGTCCTTGTGGTTCTTACGAAGGGTTGTTATACCTTATGAAACCTTATCTTTAAAATTTCAGAGTAAGAGCTGTAATAAAAACTGATAACTAAATATTTGAAATGTTGTGGCCATTGAGATGATTAACTTTTTAGAAGTTTCTTCTGTGACAGAGAAGGAGATGGGGGAGAAATAAAAAAACAAGAACCTTCCACAGGCTCCCACACCGTGATCCTTCCCCAAGCCTGTCCTAACCAGACAGGATCATGGGTTCTTGTGGACACACCCCTGACTCCCTGCCCCACCCCTGAAAGGTATAGGCCAACCTGGAAACTGAAACCCGCTCTGCCATGTGGTTTCCAGTATTGTGTTGTGCTCCTTCTGCTGTGCTGTGGCTGGGCCAGTTGGGATTATTTATTGGGCTTTTATGAATCATTTTATAACTTTTTCACTCAGTAACTTGCCACCTATATAGTGTGCTGTGGTTGATGATCTTAATGGTAAGTACTCTTTTTCTAAGCAGGTTTTAATGGATTTTTAGATCATTATTTTGATGTCGTTTTGAGACTCCTTTACTCTTGTAAATAAACCCTTGGTGCTGTGTGAAACCTCGTTTCCTCTCTTTCCTCATCAGGTGATCAGGGAATGGTAGGTGGTAGTGATAAAAATATCCACGGGACCAGGTCGCTGGTACACATACCAATAATAGGTCATGGAATAGAGTCTGGCAGAAAGATATCTAATTTTAACACCACGCACCCCAAGTCACAGGTATCCCGAGGATATAAATGGGTGGAGGATGATATGCACAGACCCTGAGTTTTGGGTTCCCCATAATTGATCTTCTTTCCTTAAGAGACCCGGCCATCTTCCAGCTGTGGGAGAAGAGACTGAGAAGCTGTCAGCTGCTTGAGTCTCTTTCATAGTTGTTCCTGCTTTCGGGGGGCAGGACAAAGCAAGTGTGAGAGGGTTAATTCAGGATAATTCAAATGTAACCAGAAGATATGAAGAGGGAAAGCTAGCAAGAGTCTTCAGATGATAGAGAAGAAGGACACAGGAGAAAACGAATAGCATCAAAGGATGAAGGTGAAATCATTTGATTTTCCCTTTCTTCTTTAGTCTTTGCTTACTTACAAACCTAGCAGTGCCCTAAAAATAGTAGATGCTCTATAAACATCTCTTGGTGGTGGTGGCGATCATGCTTATTTAACCGAGAGCTGCTTTCTGCAGTGAGATTTTAAATGAACTAGCTGTTATGCAAGTGGAATTATAGGTAAATGCATTTGGTAACAGAGGGATTATAGATGACCTCAGCCCAATAACTGTTTACGTGTTTTCTATGTAAAAGATGCCTTAGTACTTTTGTGACATCTGTAGGCATTACTGATCAACTTCTATTCTAGTTCTTTTAAAATAACTGTTAACAGAAATGGGAAGAAAAGAAATGAAAGCAATATGGAAAGCTGCAGTTGGGTAAGACAGAGTGGGTTTAAGTTCACTGTACTCTGTCTTCTTTTAAGAAGACTAACTTGAGGGACCAGCAGTTAGCGTAATGGCTGTGTCGCTGAACTCCCATGTAGTCGACCACAGTTTTGAGTTCCAGACCCGGTGACTTAAACTCACTCTAGGTGCTTGTGTGTGTGTGCCCAAGATCCCGAGAGGAGAACGGAGGAGAAGGGATTGCAGCGTGGCCATCCCCCTGGGGGGTGATTTCTCGCTTTCTGTCCCTCTGTCTCTGTTTCTCTGGTGAGCAAAAAAAAAAAAAAAAAAAAAACAGACTAGCTTGATTATTACTGCAGGTCTTTCCCCCAAAAGGGGGCTGTATTACAAAGGAGGGAAACATGAAATAAAGGCCATTTATACAGCATGGAATGAGTAAAAGCTGCTTTAGTCCCAGAGGTGGTACATGAAGAACATTTTCTCTGGAAAGCACTGCCTTGAGTGTGAGCTTCATCCAGTTCACAGCATAAATACATATGGCTGTCCTTCCCTCATGGCCCCAAACCAGAGTTGAGTTAAATCAGTCAGGGATGGCAATTTCAAGTAAGACTCCTTTACCACAGTTAATTTGAGGTGGGAAGATTTTGCATAAATTGGGGGAACAGAAAAATAAATGACAAGCTAGGTTTCCCTTCTACGTGATCATATTAAATCTATTTTTGTTGCCAGGTCATGAACTTGCTCAATGGAAAGAGACAGTGAATGTGATCCCTTTGGGTAGG